ATCTATCTATCTATCTATCTATCTATCTATCTATCTATCTATCTATCTACACACACACAAATAAAATAATACAATAAAATAAAATAAAAGACAGGGTCTTGTTTTCAGGGAAACGCGGGTAATTAAACTATCTCTGAAGTCCCCTACTTGGTTCGCCTTCCTTTTCCCCGAGGCCGAGAAAGCTGCTGAGGGAAGCGGATCCTCCAGGCTCTCTCAATCTGGGAAGTGAATCTTTGTGGGGGTGGCGAGACAGACGTTTCCTGACATTAGTTCTGCTTCTTTGGCCGCCGTGAAACTGGGGAGGTGTGGTTTTGCCTACCTCAAACCGTAAGACCTCTTTCCGGAGGGCCGCAGAGAGACGTTCAAACTCCCGTTCATACTGGGTCATGCGAGATTCCCACTGAAGAAATAGAAAACGAAATAGAATTATTATTTTTTAAATATAAGAACCTGGTTAAACAATGCAGCAGTGCTGCCTCGTCAGCAGAAGCAAAACTACGTTGAGGGGAGGAGAGGAATGCATCCTTAAAAAAGTTTTTTTTTTTGAAAAAAGTCCAGATCGTCCAAATTCAAAAGCCGCCTGCAACTATTGGGGTCACTTAAAAGTGGCCCGATGGTGGTTCACGTCCGGTGAAAACTGCGCTGGGCATGCTCAGGAGAGGCCTCCCTCCCGCTCACCTCCGAGATCTCCTCTTTGGCTTGCTGAAGTTTGTCGGGTTTGTTGGCCCACAGAAGCCTGGCCTCCGTTTCCCGTTTCTTCTGCAGCGTGACCTGGGCGTCTTGCCAGCGCTGCCAAGACTTCATTCTCTGGTCAAAGGCACCCTGTCGAGAGAGATTCATCACTGGAAGCATCAGATCACCCATGGGGAAACTGAGCTCAGACCCGTGACAATGTCCAGGGTAAACAGCAATAGCACTAAAGACTTATATACAGCTTCACGGTGCTTTGTAAACGAAGCAGTTTACAGAGATAAGTCTCTTGCCCCCAACCATCTGGGTCCTCGTTTTACCCATCTCAGGAAGGATAGAAGGCTGAGTCAATATTGAGCAAGTCGGGATTGAACTGCCGACTGTGGGCAGCGTTAGCCTGCAATGCTGCATTCTAACCAGAAGGAAGGAAGGAAGGAAGGAAGGAAGGAAGGAAGGGAGGGAGGGAGGGAGGAAGGGAGGAAGGAAGGGAGGGAGAGAGCGAGGGGAAGGAAGGAAGAAAGGAAGGAAGGAAGGAAGGAAGAAGGAAGGAAGGAAGGAAGGAAGGAAGGAAGGAAGGAAGGAAGGAAGGAAGGAAGGGGAAGGAAGGAAGGAAGGGGAAGGAAGGAAGGAAGGAAGGAAGGGGCATTATCAATAGCACTTAGACAAATATGCCACTTCACAGTGTTTTACAGCCCATTCTAAGTGATTTACAGAGTCAGCATATTGCCCCCAACAATCTGGGTCCTCATTTTACCCACCTTGGAAGGACGGAAGGCTGAGTCAACCTGGAGCCTGGGGAGATTCAAACTGCCAAATTTCAGGCACCCAGCAGTCAGCAGAAGTAGCCTGCAGCACTGCGCTCTAATCACTGCGCCACTCGGCTCTTAAATGGTGTAAACTCTTACCGGAGGTCACTGCTGTTCTCTGAGCTTGGTGGTTTTCTTGCAGATGTTTCATTATCCAACTAGGCAACATCATCAGTGCTAAATGGGAGTGGGGTTTGCTCTCCGTTCAACATGAAAATATGTCCTTCTGGCACTGGGGATGTTACTAGAGTTAATGAAACGTCTGCAAGAAAACCACCAAGCTCAGAGAGCCCCAAGGACTCCAGAGCTACAAATATTCTCCTTTATAGACTCCTGCCAGCCTAATGGACCACCGGCATAGCCCTCGCCCACCACAGTGGCCAAGGAGCTTTGTGGGCACCATCCACCCCTGCCTTTGGGGATGTCATGCCCCTGTCGGAATCTGATTCGGAGGGGGAGGCCGAGCAGCTGACAGGGAGAGGGAGGCTCCGTTGGCTGTGGAGGAAACTGGGGAAGGGCAAAGTCCGGCTGGGCAGAGCAGGGGAGAGGTAAAACAAACGAGAGGGAGTTCAGTGGAAGATCCAGGCCCACGCACTCTTCATCCTAGGGCACATAGGGAGGAACGGAGCAACGTGAGTTGCGTGGCTTACGGGGGAGGAAAGGGCCCTGATTCCCTTCATTAGCTGCAGCTGGGAACACAGTGTTTAAAAAGGGAGTTTGCGCACAGCAACTTGTTGGAAACAAATCGTGTATTATCTTGTTTTGTTGAGGCTTATCTGGATTCCAGGCGTCTTCCCAACTGTGTGTTTTGATGGCCTCTGAAGTCTGCAATTCCTTCTCCTACCCCATCCAGTTAATTGCTGCAGCGTGGTTTGTGTGGATTTTTAGTTACAGTTTGTATGTACTTTGTTTTCGGACTGAATTTCCTCCACTTAAAAGACTGTTCTTGGGAGAGTTTTTTCTCCAGCCAAAGGTAACTGGACATTGGGGGCAAAGTTGGGGGTATTTCCAGGGACTTTTCTTACTTATGTGACTGTGTTGCCTTTGTGCCACGCCCCTTTGGGTTATCACAGGCGAGACACCTGCAGCCCTTACCCTCACGGAGGCCAGGAGACGGATGTAGTCGCTCAGGAGTTCCGCCAGGAGGAAGAAGTCACTGTTGGCCTGCTCCTGGTGCAACTGCTCGATCTTCTCTTCCACCTCGGCCAGTTGGGAAAGGGCCCGGGACAAGGCTGTGTTGTCCTCTGAGCTGCCCAGCATAGCCAGGCTCTTGGCAAACTGAGAGGTATTCAGCGACAGCTCTGGAGGACAGAAAGCGGGGTGTGGGAAGATGGCACTTCCTGGCTAGTGACACAGAAGCCCAGCAGAAAAAAAAGGGCCCCCAATGGACACAACTTCACGAGGAGGAGAGGATGCTGATGATGCCAGATTGGGAGAAAAATGCCGTCAAATCTAAACCCCTAAACCCAGGGGTGGGCGTCAAAAATTTTAGCAATGGGTTCTCTACCTGGTTGCATGGCCATGGTGGGCGCGGCCTAGTTGGCCTCCTGCACCACGGCAGGAGGGGGGGGAGTTTTTACCCTCCCGGACTCCGGAGGCTTTACTGGAGTTTCCGGGAGGGCGAAAACGGCCTCCCTAGGTTCCGGAGGCTCCCTGGAAGCCGGAAACAGGCCCATTTCTGGCCTTCCCAAACTTCCAGGGAGGCCCGCATGCGCTCTGCACTTCCCTGCATCCAAAATGGGCCATGTGGGGACTCCACCCCTGCCTGAACCTCCCAAAATCTTGGTCCTCCAGCTAAGGTTGCTGGGAATTAAGAGCTCAGTACACTCTGCCCTCCCAGTCTTTATAAAGTAAACCCAGGGTTTTTATTTATCTATTAATCCAATTTATAGAGCCAGCCAACTCATGTATAGAGGACCCTAGGTGGCTTACGAATTTTGTCTTTATAACAAAAATCCAGTTTTTGTTAGGAAAAAAACAAAACCCAACCCAAAACAAATCAAAACAAAACACACATCTCATTCTTCATGGCAGCCACGACACAATAAAATCACCCACTTGATTGGCTCTGCTCCATTCGGGGTTCCCAAGCCTGTTGACGAAACCACATTTTAAGGGCTTTTCAGATAAGTAATTTTGGAGGGTGGTGGAGGGAGGAATTATATCGTAGAGGGGAATCATGGTTTATAATAGCAATAGTGCTTAAGACTTATATACTGCTTCACAGGGCTTTACAGCCCTCTCTAAGCAGTTTATAGATCCCCCCAAACAATCGGGAGTCCTCATTTTTCCAACCTTGGAAGGATGGAAGGCTGAGTCAACTTTGAGCCGGTCAGGATCAAACTGCTGGCAGTGAGCGGAATTACCCTGCAATACCTCATTCTAACCACTGAGCCACTATGGCGCCAAAGAGACCACCACTAAGATGTAGATAGGACTCACAACTTGGCCTGGAGGTCGTCTTTAAGTCGGACATTCTCAACTCGAGGACTGCCTGTCCTCAACTCAAGGTTCCAAATCTTAAGAGTTTTTGTAAAGCTGAAAGGTGACCCTACAGTTGTCAGGTTTCCAAGTGATGAAATCCAAAACTGACAACAGTTTTCCAACTTCCCGTAGCTAGTTCATCAAGGGAGTTACCTTTTCTGTGATTGGCCAGCATTTCTACAATTGCGTGGAGCTTCCGCAGACGTTGTTCCTCGCCTTCCACTTCCTGGAGTTTCTCTTCAAACCACTAGAGGGGAGAGACGGGGCGGAGAACCAACCCCAACAAGTCATCGTAGGAAGAGGACTGCGCATTCAGACAATCTCAGGCAACCCAGTCAGGGACAAGATACAGGGTGGTTTTCATACGGAGCAAGAGATGCTCGGCGGCTTACAATGTCCGATTCGTTCATCTTGATGGTCATTTTGCTGACTGCATCAGTGGCTCTGTTGAACATCTTCAGGAGGCCGGCTCCGCTCAAGGTTTGGGTGCCAAAAGCCCGTGGCAGCTGAAAAGAAGAGGGGAAGAAAAACCCACCACAGTGCGTATGTCAGGATCCCAGCGAACGCCCTAATGAAATCATGAGCCTCGAGCCAAACTTCAAAAAACTTCAAAGGATTTATTAGGTGCGATATACTGGCTGTCAACTAAAAAATACTTCTTGGGACCTTTTAGTTGCCAGCAGAAAGGGAGTGGGGGAAAGCAGTGCATTCCTCAAATGCTTCAGATAATTGCTAGGCAGCCGAAGCTGTTGGCACGCAAGATTATTACTGGAGAGCAAGATTGATGACTCTTGGCTGTGGATGTGTCCCATTGGAGAATATATATCCAGGGGTTGGAGGGAAGACCAGGGTCAAGGGGGAAATGAATGAATATGTCTTAGTATCGGCTGCACCCAGGTAATGCCAACATGGTCACTCCTAATAAATCAATTTTTTTTTTTAACTCTGAGAGATGCGGCTAGAGACTTATGATTTGAATGGGGTGGATTTGTCGGAGCCCTGACAGTGGCATGACCTGTATGAAGCTGACTCTGCGATATGTAATTTACAATCACCTATGACCCTGTTCTCCCCACCACCCAGGGTATATCATAATCCAGATTGTCCAACGAAACATGCTCATTGGCTGGGTGTCATTAATCATGCTCTCCAATAGAGGATTTTCATGCCCAGAATTTGCATGAAAATTGCCTGAGTTACAATCTTTGTGAGATAAACTTGGAATGAGCTTCTGAGTGCATTTGCAGTATGCTCCTTCAGGGTTTCCCCCTCCTCTTTCTTATGGCAACTTGGAAACAGGCATAAGAATGTTTTACATGTTGACAGCATATTTGGTAAATTAATGCTCCTCAACCGTGGCCATTTTAAGATGTACGGACTTCAACTCCCAGAATTGGAAGCTGGCTGGGGAACTGAAGTCCATGTATCTTAATTGAATTGAATTCTTTATTGTCATTGTACATACATACACAGCATACACACAATGAAATTCATATAACACCCATAGACCAGACTCAACATGCACACACACGACAATCCCCAAACACACCCCCACCTGTCAAAATTCCCCGCCCCCCCTAAAAACACACAAGCATCCACACAACAGACCAAATAATCCTGTCCAACAGCTCACTGATGGTGGTGCTTAAGTTCATTGTTAAGCGCCATTATAGCTCTGGGATAAAAACTATTCAGAAAAACGTGTGGTCTGAGTTTTAACTGTTCTGTATCTCCTGCCGGAAGGCAACAGTTCATAAAGATTGTAAGCAGGATGGGAAGAGTCTCTTGAGAATGTTGTGCAACGTTAAAAGTGGCCAAGGTTGAGAAGCACTGATCTATACTGTGTACGTCATCTTGATCTCTTGAACAACCAATGGGGGTCTAAACCAGCAGAACCAAGGTGAGACGATTGAGAGTCACGTCTCCTCTCCAGCATGGAGTTCACTGGATGATTCTTGGTGTGTTTCGATACTTTCTTGAGTTAGAAACATAAGCTTGGCTGGATTAGACCGGAGACTACTCAAGTCAACCAGGACTGATCAGGAAGAGTTTGGCGATCAAAGCAGTCGGGTGACTTTGGGCCAATCCCAGGGAGACGGTGTGTCACAAAAGCCGGCTGGGTGACCGACCAGTTCCTCTCTCTCTCTCTCTCTCATCCCAACCCACCTCACAGGGTGGTGGTTGCTGTTGTGGGGGAAAGGAGGAGGAGGAAGGAGCGGCAGATAAACATAAATTATAGGTGGGAGGGAGGGAGAAAAAGGCAAGGTTTTTCTCAAGCAGCTTCTTTGTAAAGTAGGAGAATTTGGACTCTTGGTTTGGCCAGGAGAGCCGTGTCCAGCCAGCATGTTGCAATCCCCTTCACCTAGAGCAGGGGTGTCCAACCTTGGCCACTTTAAGACTTGTGGACTTCAACTCCCAGAATTCCTCAGCCAGCAAAGCTGGCTGAGGAATTCTGGGAGTTGAAGTCCGCAAGTCTTAAAGTAGCCAAGGTTGGCTGAGGAACTCTGGGAGTTGAAGTCCACAAGTCTTAAAGTTGCCAAGGTTGGACACCCCTTCACCTAGAGCCCGATTTGAACATAGTTCAGCAGAAGAGAACCAAGGGGAACCGGCTGTATCAGCAAAGACCTTCAGACCCCGCTTTCCACCCAGCCAATCTGCGTCACTCTTTTCCCATGGTTGGCTTGTTCTGAAAGAAGCAGAAATTGCTTTCCACTTCACCCCATTCTCTCACCTTTCGAAAAAGCAGCTTGTTCCTGAAAACAGGAACTAAGCTGAACTCAAGCACAGCAAAAAAAAACACACAACTGTGGGTCGGTTTCTCCAATAACCTCATGCCAAGCTCGCTTAGGCCAGTGTTGTGGTCCGTTGGCGGCCTGCGGAGCTGACAGCAGAGTCGGACAGTGGGGAGGAACAGGGGCCAGTCCTGGAGTCTGGGTAGGGCTCGGACGAGGGAATCTGCGTCTGACACAGAGACAGGGCCAGGGCCATCTGAGAGTTATGTGCCGACTCTGGAGCCTCCAGAATGTGACGTCAGCAGGGAAGAGGAACAGGAGGAGCCTGTTCCCCGTGCACGCTTGCGCAGAGCTGCCAGAAGGCAAGAACAGTTAAGACAAAAGGGGCAACTCGGGAGTAAGGCTTGGAGATGATTGGCCCCTCCCATAAGACATAAGGGAGTAGCAAAGGGACAGGAACCTTTGCAGGAAGCAACTTTGTTCGTTCTGGTCACTTTAAACTCTGAAGCTCCGTGTTGACTTCGTGCTCCGTTTGGCCTTGTACAGCTAATTGGCAATTTAGTCGTTGGCAGAATTTCCAGAGAGATAAAGGTGGGTGCTTATCAGCCTTATCCCAAAAGACTGCGGCAGGCTTCTGCTGGACTACTCACAAACTGTTTGGGGCTCATTATGGGCTGGGAATGCATATAATTCACAGCTGTTGAAATTTAAAAAAAAAGTTTTGGGGAACAGCGCGTGATTGTTACTGTCTCAGGAAGCCTTGGTCAGAACAGCCAGGGGCCCCAAACCTCAGGTCCGTGAACCAGCACCGGGGGGCCCAGCATGCCAGAAACCGGGCCGCGCAAACAAGTGAAGCCCCACGCATGGGTTGCAAGCAACACACCAAACCACACACCTCCTCTGGTCTTCGGAAAAAACCTCTCCATGGAACTGGTCCCTGGGGGCCAAATGGTTGGGGGGGGGGGCTGGCTTAGTCCATGAAAAGCACAGACCCTGGTGACGGTAGCAAACCTACCTCATCCTTTTCCAAGAATTCCCGGACATCTGGGTCCTGCAGCATGGTGGGGTGGCTTACGGTTCTTTGAATATATCTGCAGAATGGGAGTAGAGAAGTCCCGTTTACTGACATGAAGAATCCCTCCTTTTAAAAGAGAATTTAACAAGGCGGGCTGGCATTCCACGACACCCTCCATGGATTAGAGGAGCCAAGATCACAGACACAACCTCCTTCTAATGTAGGGGCAGGGATGGGAGGAGAACTAAAAAAAGAAAAAAACCCACTCAAATCTAATGGTTGATTCACAATCAGATCTGGTTTCCCCCACCCACCCACCCATTTATTATGATTAGGTGTTGGGTCGATTTGATTATCAGACAGAGATGCTCTCATCTGGGAATATTTATTTCATATAGTATTCTTATTAAACAAGAATTGGGAAAGCTTACAACAAACTTATAACTGTTTGTAGACCCATTATATAGAAGAGAATGTATCTAGTTTTCTTTTTCCCACCATCCAGTTGGGCTGGATTCTTCATGTTTAATGTTAGATTTATCTGATAATGTGGGTCATTTCCCCCTTTTCTTGGACACCATTTTTCGTCCTTTTGTTGCTAGCGCTAGATGTATGTTTCCTGTTTTGCATTTTATTCTTCTTGGTAAAACAAAACAAATATATATATAAACAGATCTTTCCCCTCCCTGCTTTCAGGTGTGGATGAAGTAAGAAGGGTTATATTGGCGCAAACCAAGTACAATTTATGCTACAATGTGCCCCCTGTACCTGCTCTCACTATATCATCTTCTTTTAACGACCCCATAATGCCTTGCGGGGTGGAGTCTGGACAACTGAATGCTTACTGGCTGGATGCCCTTCCTGTTACCACTGTGGAGGTTTTTTTCCCCCCAGCAGATATATTCTCAGTTGTGCCCAGAGATATCGGTCTCTACCTAGGATTGAACTCACAGCCTCCGGATTGTGAGACGAGAGCTCCGCTCCTAGGCCACCGCACCCTTCTATCTGGCTCTCACTATATATACACCAATATTTCCCAACTGGTAGCAAATTTAAGATGAGTGGATGTCAACTCCCAGAATTCCCCAGTCAGCTGCGCTGGCTGGAGAATTCTGGGAGTTGACGCCCATCATCTTGACGTTGCCACGGTTGAGAAACACCGATTGTGTTCTTTGTGTACGCTATCTTGATCTTTTGAAGAAAAAATGAGGTACACATCAAGAGAACCAAGGTAAGGAGACCTAGATTCAAGTCTCCACTCCATCGTGGAATTGCTTCCTGGCTTGTTACGGATTTTCTTGGGCTAGAAAGCTAAACTGGCCTTGGGATGGACAACTACCAAGGAATGCTGGAATAAGTGTGGGAAACCCACAAGCATTTTCGGCAAAGGAAAAAGGTGAAAACCATTTGTGGTGGCTTGAAAACAGTTCCACCAGGAACCGAACTATCCTTAAGGGAGGTGTGACGTGTCCATTGAAACTGGAATTATGAAAAGAAAAAAAAACAGGAAAGAAAACTGGGATTTTTTTTGGGTGGCTTCCCCTTCTCTCTTCCGTATTCGGGGAAAGATTTAGAAGCCATTTTCCATCTGGGTGAATTTCCTCAGACCTCGTTTTCTCCTGGAATCCACTCCAGACAAGAGGATCAGATTTCAGGAGCCCTGAGGCCAGGTTCCAGAGGACGATTTCCATCAGAGAAACAGCCCTACCGAACAAAATCTCTGAAGGATTTTGGAACGGGACGTTCTCCTGCGATTCATTCCCATTGGGTTGGAACGCAAATGAGAATCCTTCACAGGTTGATGTCTAGAGGACCACCAGCAGTAAACAACTGGGGAGATTTGAGATGCATTGGACCTTTTGTTCCCCTTGATCACACCTTGGGCGAGCTTGTAAGCGTCTTCCTACGAGGCAAATTCCCCTACCCAGAGTAACGAACCCATTGCACCACCTTAATGGTTACAACACCCGCCAACGAGAAACACAAACCCCCCAACCTTTCTAAGGCAGCTCTTCGTCTCTCTAGGAATTCTGTGGAGGAAGAGTCTTCTTTTCCAACCTTGACTTTGGTCATCCCTGGGACAAGAGAAAAAGAGAAACAAAGGGGTTGAAGTTACCTATAGGGCATATACAAGGGGTTCAATTTGGATCAGGGGTCTGCAACCTTGGCAACTTGTGGACTTCGACTCGCAGAATTCTGGAAATTGGAAGTCCACCCCTCTTAAAGCCTGCTAGCTTATTCCAAAGCCATAGAGTTTAACTTTACCTACAACAGGAATCTCCAAACTTAGCAACTTTGAGACTTGTGGACTTTTGACTCCCAGAATTCCCCAGCCAGCATGGCTGGTTGAGGAATTCTGGGAGTTGAAGTCCACAAGTCTCAAAGTTGCCAAGTTTGGAGACCTCTGATGAGTAGCAGTGGCTCTCGATGTTTGAGGCAATGTTTTATATAGCACTTTCTGGGGATGTCAAAACTATTAGTTCTACCAATGAGCAGCTCACATCAGTCAAAACTCATTCTTTACTTTATAAAGTATATTTGGAGAGCATCAGGTTGGGGAAAAGATGCTGAAAACAGTCTTTCCTTTAAGTCTTTTGAACTTGGAGAGAGGAGACAAATCACTTTTTAAAAATCCCATACAGTACCCTTTGGGGATTCCCGTTCATTTTTCAGATTAGGGAACATTTGAATAGATGTGTGTGTGTGTGTCTCTGTTGTGTGAAATCTTTCCAAAGATTTTATGCATCACTCCTGGCCCCAAAAAAGGGATACTTCCCCGAGCATTAGCCCAAATTACAGAAACTGAGCTGTTTTGTCTTTGGCTCAGCTTACCTGGTTTGTGATAATTGTGGGGTGCGCCCCTGGATGTACAATTGTGCATAGAATGCTATGTGTATTTGACATTCAGGAGTTGTGGATCTGGCCATTTCATTTTACCCTTCCTTCTCCTCTACTTAGGTAAAAGTATAGGTTCCTCTGCACATATGTGCTAGTCCTTTCCAGCTCTAGGGGGCGGTGCTCATCTCCATTACAAAGCCGAAGAGCCAACGCTGTCCGATGGCGTCTCCGTGGTCATTAAACGCCGATGGCGCACGGAACGCTGTTACCTTCCCACCAAAGGTGGTCCCTATTTTTCTACTTGCATTTTTTTTACAGGCTTTCAAACTGCTAGGTTGGCAGAAGCTGGGACAAGTAACAGGAGCTCACTCCGTTACAGGGCGCTAGGGATTTGAACCGCCGAATTGCCGACCTTTTGACTGACAAGCTCAGCATTTTAGCCTCCGAGCCACCGTGTCCCCTCCTCTACTTAGGCAGGGGTTAAATTATGTTTGTAACAAATATCTAAAATTGACGCACTGCCCAACAATTTACCCCGATATTGCCTTTCAGAATTTCCCTCCAGCCAGGTGAGTTTGCAAGGCCCACGGATCTCATCTAGGGACTAATAAATCCCCAAGTTACTCTGGTCATCGTCAGGGCTCCAACAAATCCACCCCCATTCAAATCAAAAGTCTCCAGCCGCATTTCAGAGAAAAGGAAATTGATTTATTAGGAGTGGCCATGTTGGCCTAAGCTGGATGCAGCCGATACTAAATTACACCATCCATTTCCCCCTTGACCCTGATCTTCCTCCCACTCCCTGGATGTGACTTCTCCAATGGGACACATCCATCTCCAAGAGTCCTCCATCATGCTCTCCAATAACCTTCTTATGCTCTGACAACTTTGGGCTGCTGAGGTGATTATCTAGGCATTTAAGGAAGGCCTTGTTTTTTCCCACTCTCTTTTTCTGGCAGCTAAATAGACCCAAGGAGTATCTTTTCAGTTGACAGTCATGCGGTAACGTGTGAAGCTAGGCCACCCCAGGTAGTCCTTGCCCACATTTCCACTGTTAAGCGAGACAGTCGTTAAGTGAGTTTTGCCCACTTTGTGACTTTTCTGGCTTCTGGCCCATTGCCTTTGCTTCTCGGGAGATCGTAAGAAGGGGTCGCGTAACCCCGGGACACTGCAAAACCGTCATAAATGTGAGTCTGTGGCCAAGCCTCTGAATTTCGATCACGTGGCCATGGGGGACGCTGCGCGAGAAACTTTTTTTTTCAATCGCTTTGTAACTTTGGTCCCTAAACCAATGATTGTAAGTCGAGATCTACCGGTTAGGTTTGAACTCAGCAGAGGCAATCAAACCCCTGCCGGCATTCTCACCTATTAAACTCTTCTCCGGAGGAGGAGGAACAATCATCCCATGTTGGGCGTGTTTCTCCAGAAGCTTCTCGTACAAGCCCAGAAAGTCACTGAATCGTCTCTTCACCGAGAACTGCTGGCTTCTGAACATTGGCAGAGTGGTCTGTAGGGACGGGAGAATCTGGTTAGCAAAATAGGAGTCTTGATAGCAATAGGACTTAAGACTTAATAGACTGCTTTATAATGCTTTTACAGCCCTCTCTAAGCAGTTTGCAGCCTCTTGCCCCCAACAATCTGGGTCGTCATTTTACCCACCTTGGAATGACGGAAGGTTGAGTCAACCTTGAGCCTGGTGAGAATCGAACTGCTGGCAGTTGGCAGAATTAGCCTGCAATACTGCATTCTAACCACTGTGCTATCACGATCCATCCTTCCTTCCTTCCTTCCTTCCTTCCTTCCTTCCTTCCTTCCTTCCTTCCT